TCCTAACCAAACTCTCATAACATGTTGAAAGGTTTTGGTTGGAAATGGAACCCTAGAACATGTCTTTTCATTCATTATCGTCATTTCTTGGTTTAAATATGCAAAACTTTGACACTACATTGATAAGGTATGCCCGGTTGCATCTGAAGAAACAATAAACTTAGAAAGCTTAAAATAAAACATAAAACAATGCAAAATGGAAAGACAGTTTCATATTGAAACTTAATTAAACACAATTCTTAGTCTAAACAACGTCAATTCACTTAGCTTTTGCACAATCCTCGGTTGTAACTACTTATATATTCCGTGAAAAATGATACCAAAATAAATTGGAAAGAGGAGAAAACAATGATATGGAAATTGAAAGGGCTAAGGCTAAGTATAGTTCCACGACCTTTGAAACAAAACCACATCAGACCGCACTGAACTGAATTGCATTAGTTCGTTACTGGTTTTTCATCTTTCCAGTATCTTTGAGAAATTGAAAGGTTTGTTGTTGAAAATGCAGGTGGCCTTTTAGCAGAATCTTCACTGGCAGGGCCCTGTGGTATGTGCAACATTTGTTTTCTGGTTGTTGGGTTTGGATGGAGACAGGGTGCAACTGACTTGTAGCCCAAGTTTGCTATCTGGAAAAAAGATTGAGAAAACCAAAGATATTACACAAATTAACAAGGAGATAGAGACACCAACTCTACAACTGTATTATGAACAACATAGAAAGCAAGGGTCAGATTTCCAGCGATCAGTTACCTCCTTGTGAAGTGCTCCGGTGAAAGCAAGCTCTTTGGATTGCCAACAGAAACTGCAGTTGCAAACTCCCAACCAAGGCAGATGTGGCATATCCAGTTCGAAGTTTCGACGCTCCAAGTACATGCTCCCATTATTTAGATGTTCCAAGTACTTGAGCATGTACATGTAACATGTGCCAGGCTTGATAACTACATTTGGTGAAAACACCAGATGAGCTGATTTTACACAAACAAAGGCAATGCAAATGTGAGGAACATACCTCATGTACAAACAATCTCCAATGAACTGTCCTTAGACCATCTCACAACTGCAACACTGAGTGCGAAGACCAACAGTTTTCTGCCTGCACAAATGGATATTTCACCTTGTAATAGGGAGTAGGAAACACAATAAGCATACACAGGGTTAACTGGGGACTACAGACAGTTAAAAGTTCAAATATCCTCCCAAACTCTCCGAAAGGGATTAGTAGCATAAGCTTTATAAGTCGGAACATCTAAACAACTTCCTCTCCTCTATACCCGTTTGACATTAAGCACACATTTCTTTAGATTTCCTCGACAACTCTTGATCGCAAGTGAGCTTGAGAGAGAGAAACTCTGACAATGCTAACTTCTAGGTAAGGCAGTAGATGTACCAGCATACCAGCAGTAACCATATGAACCACTTAAACTAGCAAATTCCCACAGTAACAGTAACTTGCAAAATAGTGTGGAAAGATTCACAGTTCAGGTACAATAAAGCATCACTAATTGAACCACGAGAAGAATCCACTGACCTGCATAGGTGGAAAATCTTCCCATTTATCAAATCATAAAGTCAGTCTCCCATCTTCAATGGATTGACACCACTTTGCAATCAGCTTCGTGCCATGAGCGCCCTGCCAAACTATCAAACCTATAGAAAAACTATAACGAAGGTCTTCCGCAATCAACATCCATACAAACCTGCCTATTACTCCCCTCTTTTTCTACTAAGGAAACATGCATGGTTACATGAAGTTCAAGCCCAACTATGTTTTCATCCCCGGTCAACCTCAATCATGCTACATCCAGTTTCTTTAACCCTCATTTCTTGATTTCCTATTGACTTATACCTACACTTGGTATCTATCCGCTCATCTGTCGTTGCCACTGGATGAATGTGCAGGTTTGGTCATTCCATTTGTATTCTTACATGAAATTCTATGGTGTCCATAGTTAGACGGAAGGGTCAAGTGGTTGTTGCAGGTTTCCTGTGGAAAATGATGTGGCATAGAAAGGTTATGGAACTTGGTTCTGAATGGTTAATGTTTTCTTTTCTGTCTCTACAGGTGGGGAGCATACATCAGTATATCGAATCAATGAGGACAGCTTACCTTGCAGACCAGCGGCGTCGAGGTGATGTGAATGACCCGTTTCTTGAGGCGGATCGTCGTGAGGCTGCAAAACAAGAGGCTGCTGCTAAGAGAGTTCATCCAACTCTGCATTTGCCGGCATCAAATTGTCAGCCTTCGAATCAAGTTGCTGAGTTGCTACCTGCATTTGCTGCATCATCAACTGCTCCGCAGACATCTTTGGCAGCAGCAGCAGCAGCAGGACCAGCAGCTCCTTCAGGGACTGGGTTATCTCTGTTCAATTATGTCAAGGAATCTGAAATTGCCCATTGAGGGATCATTAAAGAGTTTTTGTTAATCTTTTGTATGACTTTGTTCTGTGAGCATAAAATCAAGTGAGTTCAAGGATTTGGTTTACTGGCACAGGGTACTAAATTGGATTCAATAGACATTTCGATTGAATCGTTCATAGTTGAATATAGTTTGATTTGACTATAAACAAAGAAGATCAAAGTGAATACTGGACTGGACCAAATTGGCCATGGCACCAACTAAACTTCCAGCTGATCATCTATTGCTTTGCTGGGATGGATATAACAAGCAAAACATCTCCTTTTCAACCACTTACATAGAACAATCCTTGGCATCAAGATCATCGACTTCTGACCTTCCCATGTTCCCTTGCAATCTCCATACTTCTGATTGAGTTTCTTTAATCACAGGACTAGTTTGATCATCAGAAGTGAATGCCTGAATGCCACCATGATGGGCTTCAATCCAGCTTAGCCCAGCTTCTTTCTCCAGCATCATTCCTCTCATCTTCTTTCTCATATCAGCAACTCCATCCCATCTCCCTGTAACAGCATACAGATTCGAGACCAGAACATGTGTCGCACTGTCATCACTATCCAACCTCAATACCTCCTCGCCAGCTCGAATTCCTAATCCCAAATTCCTCTTATCCACACAAGCACTCAGTAGGGTTCTCCACATCTCCAAGTTATGCTCTGATGAATGAGATGCTGCTGCTGCTGATTCTTGTATAACCTCTTCGGCCTTCTCTAGCAATCCTGCCCGGCAAAGTAAACTCACCATGCAGGAGTAATGGTTAGGCCCTGGGGTAATAGTCCCACTTTTCTGCTTCATGGAATTCCACAACATCATTCCTTCCTCCACCAAGCCGCCATGGCTGCAAGCGGACAATAGGGTCAGAAATGTCACATGATCCGGCTGGATGCCATGTTTTAGCATCTCTTTGAAGAGTTTCAATGTTTCCACCGGCATTCCATGATGACCATATCCACCAAGCAGAGAATTCCAGCACTTTAAGTCAGGGAGCCAAACTTGGGAGAACACTGCCCGAGAAGCTTGCAGATTACCATTTTTGGCATACATATGAACGAGACTTCCGCAGACGTTCATTTCAGCATCACATCCTGTTTTTATTGCCTGGGAGTGAATCATCTCTCCTTGTTTCAGTGTTGCCAGATCAGCACATGCACTCAGACCTCCACTGAAGGCAAAGCTGTCCCTTCTTAGGCCATCGTTGCACATGTCGCGGAATGATTTTATTGCAGTCTCCCCATCGCCCATTCTAGAATGACCCATAACCATCTCAGTCCAGAGAACAACATCTTTCTCTTCGATGAAAGAAAAGACCTTTCGTGCTGACTCGGAATCACTGTTTCTAAAATACATTGACAGCAAGGTAGTTCCTACGAAGACATTCTTCTCTAATCCCATTTTCACTACCAGGGTGTGGAGAGCTTTCCCATAGTCATCTCCAGTTCCAGAAATAATGGCTGCCAGAGTGTAATCATCTGGTTTAGGAACCGAAAGTCTCAGTAACTGTATAAACAATTCCATTGCCTTTCTTGACTCGCCATTTTCTGCACATCCTGATATTATAGAGTTCCAGGAAACTAACTCTGGTTCCTCGATCCTACTGTATACATCGAAAGCTGTTCCAATGTCTCCACAACTGGAATACATGTCGAGCAAAGCGTTCTGCAGTTTTGAATCATGTGGCAGACCCGAAACAATAACTCGAGAGTGAATCGTCCTTCCAACGATGTATTCTCGCAGTTTAGCACAAGCATTTAGCACCGTTGAGTATGTGAACTGAGTAGGGCTGACATCAGATTTCAACATGGAATTGAACAGACGAAGCCCTTCATGTAACTTCTCATTCTTGAAGAGGTTAAACATCATGGCTGTCCACATGACCGCATCTTTAACAACCACACCGTCGAAAATTTGGCATGCAGACTTCAAATCCCCAAATTTCGAGTACATCCCAAGCAATGATGTCTGAATGGAGACATCATCCGACCCACCAAATTTAAAAACTTGACAGTGAATTGAAGAACCCATAAACCAATCGTCGAGCGCAGAGCAAGCTTGCAGTAAGCTGACGAAAGTCGACCCACCAGGTCTCAGCCCTTCACTTCCCATATCCTTAAAAACCTCTATACATCGCATTCCAAGACAGGGAGATTTAGAATAGGCTGCAAGAAGCGCATTATAGGATACAGTGTTTCTCACAGGCATTCGGTCGAACACCTGCTGGGCTTCCCATATGGAGCCGCATCGGCCGTACATAGACACGATGTTGTTGTTTCTGTATGGAGAGAGTGCATCGTTGGTGTAGACTGTGGTTGTTAGGATCAGAGCATGGAGCTGACGAGCTCTCTTAAGCGAGGTCACAACCGTGCAGTTCTGTATGAGGGTTGTTAATGGCGGCATGAAGCAACCGTCTTCCGTTCACCCGCCAAAAGTTCATAAAACCGTCTAATATTTGAAATCCGGATACAAAACAAGGAAGTCTTTTCAATATTACATTTGTCTCCAAAAGGATCAAAACGCTGCGTTTCTCCGAAGTGATTAACCTATAAATATAAAAAAATTCACCGTCTCCGTCCCCATCTCCGGCGCGGCAGCGAACGACACCACGAAAGAATGACCGGCGATTGGGAATTGCCTCGTCTCTGCCGTCTGGTCGAGGAGCTCCTTCGTCCTTACTTCGTTAGTTGTTTATTAATTTAATTTCCTGATTCGAGCTAGATTCTCCGTTCGCTTGATTGTTTATGTTAAAATAACTGAGCCCGCTGCTATTTTTACAGGAGCCGGCCGTAGGTTCTGTGTCTTTAACCAGAGAAAAGGAGAAGAATCTTCTGATTGCACTCTCTAAGGTTCTGTATCTTTCCTCCCTAGTTGTGTACTATATGCTCCAAATGTGGTCAGTAGTTTGAACGAATTCTGCCATTTTAGGTTTACAGAGAGATTCAGGTCTGGATTCGTGAAATGGAGGTTGATTCCGATGAAGTAAGCTCCTTGAAAAGTTTTATTTTCTGAATTTCCATGAACAAGTTGGTTTCCAGATGGAAGCTTAAGGTTTCTGAGATGAATTTGGGGACAGGAGATCACGAGTTCTGAGTGTTCATTGGAGGTTGTACACGAGGAGCATAACTGTTTGATGAAAGTCCTAGCTGACTTGGTATGCACTCTCTCCCTCTCCCTTTCTGCGCCTGAAGTTGCTTTGATAAGATGAACATGTAGAGTTAAATCTATCCAATTGAGTGAGGTTAATTTGGATGTATCAGTAGCATTGCCCAGGAAGGCATGGTGGTTTCAAAATGCTTTGCCAGGATCAGTTTTACTGTACTAATGTGCTTGTTAATTAATTTGAAGTTGCATTGGGGTAACTGGTCATTTCCTATGGCATGCAGATTCTTCTACTGACAGTTGACAGTCAGTACGTACAACATTCAGTTGGAAAGATTGTTGTGGCCGTTTCTGAGCTCCTGGCTCCATCTGTGAGCTCGTGGTTTGCTTCCATTGTCAGTCTATTGAGGGTACATGACAATTTACAATTTTGATAATCGTTTGTGAATGTTTTGACAGGTCAGAAACTGGGACTCTTTGGTTCATTCGCTCTGGATTTCCCTGGAATTGATAGTCAAACACGTGTTGTCCTGTTCTGCAATTTCAAATGCTGGCGAGGATTTACATTTTGGAACCTCAGGTTTAATGGTCTTAAATCGTTATCTGGGAAACGCAGACTGGTCCACTGCAGCTCATATAATCCAAATCTTGCGGAATATACTGAAAAGTTTGAAGGAAGAGTCTGATGATCAGCTTCTTCAAGTTTACGAAAAATATGTCTATCCCTTTCTGTCAAATGTGCCCTGGGATCGGATGGACGAGTGCTGTACAAAAGAGCCAAAAGTTGTGTTCTTGGGGAGTTTGATCGCATTTCTTTGCTCATTGGTTGAGCAAACCGTAGCTCCAGAATCCAAAGTCCATCTCCAAGATAAACAACCAAATCTTCCCATAGTTATTAATCTTGTGCCTAAACTTTTTCGTTGGTGCCTTGGCAAGGCAGAGAATAGGGTCAAACAGTCCACCTTTCAGTATTTCACTCACAAATTGCTGGTAAGACCTTGCTTCATTTCTCTTGTCTTGAAAAGCATTGCAAGACATAGTGAACGATAGATAGTTTCCACTGTTTTACTGGTTCATAGTGATATGCTGTTGTCATGAAGTTTTGTGTTGTGTTGATTGACGCGTTCAAGTTTTTTAGATCTGCAACATTTTTCTGCAGATGTTACTGCTGAGGCTTAGTTATGGTTATGGAACTCATATAAGTTGCACCACACTTGTGTCCTGGTTGCAACTTCTCCATGATTACTTTGAAGAGCTACTTTTGAAACCCATGTCTAGGGTTAAGACTTGTCAAAATGATTGCCTAGAAGGCTCCCCGTTTCTATCTAGCTTCTCTGAGGGAGAAGCACAACATATGAGGCATTCCCTTCATTCTCAAAGGCAGGCCATACTCCTATTTCTTAGGTGCTGCTTCAGTTTGATCAGCTCGACAGGAGAGAATACTAAGCAACTTCCCGCAGCTCATAAGTCTCTCTCGGCTGTCAACGTGGTCTCTGACCCTAATTTTTCTGGTAGAAGTAAAGGATTTATTGATCTCTACAAATGGTTCCAAGCCCACCTCCGAGATAGCTTCTTATGTGGAAAGGAAATGCATGTGGACAAGTGTATACTTTTTGCAAGATCTTTTCTCCAGCTATACTTGCATGAGGTTAGAAGCTTCTTAACTCAGGGATTAGTTAGCTACAATAGACCATGTTCTCTTAAGATTGATGTCTCTTACTTGAAAATCTTAGCAAATGTATTTTAACATTAGACCGTTGTAGGCAGTAGCAAATCAATGATTTCTTGCCACGTCTCATGTTCTAAATACTTTTTGATTTTTGTGCAGGATGACTTATTGTTTAAGGTTCTCCTGCAGATGGTTACTGCATCGTCTTGTTTGGAGCAGCAGTGAGTATAACTATTTCAATTTATTTCACTGGTTAAAATACCTAATTGGTTGTCTCATGTGTTCAGGTTAGAGGGAGAGAAACAACCATATCAGGATGCAGAAGAGGATATTGGATTTCTAGTTTCAAATGCTTTCAGTCCAGTGAACTTATTCCATCTATTCCTCTCAGAGGTGACTTCCCTTTATATATAGGCTTTTATATTAATTGGCCACACGGCCTCTCTGCCTTTTTGTTTTGATCTTCTAAATACTTCTCATTCTCTTGTAGTTGCACTATGATCATCAAGTTCTGCTTGATTACCTTATTTCCAAGGATCTTGGAATTAGTTGTGCAGAGTATCTATTGAGGTAACTTCCAGTTTGGACATGCTGAGTGTAGTCTTAACTCGTCAATCCTGAGAGTCAGTTGCATATGTTGACTGATGTCTTTCCATCTGGTTCTATTCTTATCAATCATCCTTCATTTTTAGGTGTTTAAGAATTACTTGCAGTGCGTGGCATTTATTCATAGAGTTCTATGTTGAAGGAAATGCTATGGATAGTTTATCTCGAAAAAAGCAAAAAATCTTGGAAGATGGTCCTGACTTCCAGGCAGACCAATCCTCTGGATCGCCAACCATGGACACTTCTCCCTCTCTTAATGATAAAGTGAAGATAGATACTGACAGTAGTTATAAGCAAAACAAATGCAGAAGGCTTGCATTCATCGAGGCGAAAGATTGTCTGCTATCTTTGAAAGTTTCTATAGAAAATCTTCACCGGAAGAATCTGTTTCCATATAACCCTAAAGCTCTCTTACAACGGTGCGTTATCCACCTTGAGTCCCTTTCTCTGCCTTTTCATTGAATTTTAGTGACAAATGAAAACAAATGTGTAAGAAATCATATTTTTCTTTCCAGAAGCAACTTTAATTCATTGTACACAGTCTCTTAAAGAAATTGTGGTTGGTTGGTTCGTTTTTGCAGGTTGACAAAATTTGAGGAACTCTGCAGCAATCATGATGACTTTTCCTAGACTACTTGCTTAGAGAGAACTATCTTTTCCTGCTGAAGGAGATATTGTTATAAATTATAATAAGGTGCTAGAGTTTCACTCGATATTCCAAGGTGTGGCTCCAAGTAACCTTGAAGGTTCTCCCATTCTTCAACCTTAATAGCCTATGTTTATGGACGAAAAATCAAATTTTTCGAACCATTTTCCTGCCTCTTGCAGGCATCCATCATACAAACTTGCAGAAGTTGCATAATTTTCTCCGACTGAGTGGGACTGGCCGCACTGTTGGACCTGATTGGTGCTCCTATTGATAGTTGATAGAATTTTCTGGTTGCCGATTGGACTCCGCCATCGACTTTTTCAAGTTCCAGGAGCTAGTTCTGGTACTGAGTGTGAGAAACACATTTATTGGGGTTTCTATTATTATATTAGATAGGATAATTATTATTATGGTTAGTAGAGATTTAGTACAATTAGGTTATTCGTTAGGGTTTTCCAGTATTTCCCTATAAATATGTACTTTGGGTTTACGTCATAATCAAGAAGAATATTAAGCAAAGTCTCCTAAACCCTAAACTCTCCTCTCAACTCCTAATTTCTCATCTCATCCTAGTCCAAGGCCTCGGCCGATTCCCAATTCTATTCTATCTCATCTAAATCCCTAATTCCTTATCTCAATCCCTAAATCCCTAATTGTTACGATAATTACGGGTGCCGAAGATCAGTATCGAGAATCCCTAGAAGCGTGGTTCTCACAATTGGTATCAGAGCCTGGTTGTGGCACTCGTACCAGAACCATGTCGAGATTCGAAGAGCTCTTGATCAACGCACTCACAAAGATGTTGAAGTCGAAGCTGGAAGCGGAGTGGAAGAACGAGGTTACCTCGTCCTTGCCGCTGTCCGCGAACATCGCGCAGACTGCTCCACACATAACCGCAACCGCCGCGCCAAAGGAGTCGATGAAGGAAGATGCACCGCCATTATTGAAGAACGCAGCTGCAGAATTGGACTTCGAGGATTGGTGGGAACAACCGGCGTGTCCAATCGAGGTCGAGCAAGGGGAAATTACCGCCGATGTGAAGACCGAGAAAGAAGCTACTGCAGCGGCTGCTGCGACATCACCACCACCGTCGTCGTCGGTAGCTGTTCCTCTAGCCGAGGCCACTGCCGAGAACATCAAACGGCCACAGCTGTTGGTGATCACCACCAAACCACAGAAGAAAGAAGCCATGGCTCCACTACCGGCCGTTGCTGCCGCTCTGACAACACAGACAGATCTGGCTGTAATGATGATGGAAGAAGATCCGGGAGCGAGTCCCGGCGCGACAAGGGATTTCTTAAACCCGGCCATTCCACAGCCGAGGAAACCACCCGACGATCAATCATCGCCAATCGTGAGCTCGAGCCGTGGGCTGGACTCGCCGGTGCTCTGGATCGCGTCGCTGAAGGAAGAGTCGAAGAGGAAGATCGGGGGCTCGAGCTTGGCTCCGCGCCGCGAGGTTGAAGTCTTGCCAGAGAGGGAAATCACCCAGACGCCGCGATCTGTAGTGACTCTAGCCGCGGTGACGACAGTTGGGGAGAAAGGGAAGGCGAGCTGTGCGGCGGCTCTAGTCATGGTGACAGCGGCCTGTTCGCCTCCGAAGAAGAAAACGCCGCCGAGGAAGAAGGAGCAGGCGGTGGCGGATTCGGACTGGCCACTTGGCCATCGGCGGAATTGCACACTGCCGAGGAAAGATTCGACCAACGACGAGGGGCTGCCGGAGAAGAGGAAGAAGAAGAAGGATTCACCGTCGAAGATGGAGCGGGGAGCAGGGCAAACTTCCTGCTGGAGGTTCTGTTTCTCGCCGGAGAACTTGACCGAGACGAAGACAGCGCCGTCCCGGAAGTTGCAGACGGCGGCGAACAAGGAGAAGGATTCGACGGCGGCTCCCCTCGTGTTGTCGATCAGCAGGGAGAGGGGTCGGAGGACGGAGCCAGAAGCGCGGCAACAGCCTTGCCGCCGGATCGTTTGCGCGTCGCCGGAGAATGAGGCGAAGGGTTCGCCGAGGAAGGAGCTCTTGGGCGGCGGCGGATCTCCTTCTGCTGTAACCCTAGGCGGTCGAAGAGTGGGGTGGGTTGGGCACCCATCGGGCCGAGATTTCCAAGCCGAGTGGGCCGTGAGGCCAATGAAAGTGGGCCAGACCAGCCCGCACCCATGGGTGGAGTTTGTTGGGCCAGGATGGATTTCGCATGGGCTCTCCCTGGGCCAAGTTTCAGTGGGCTATTTTGTAAGATTTGTCTTGCAGGGACAGAACTTGAGAGAAGAAGAATGTGGGCTAGTTGGATTAAATGGTGGGCTGAACAAGAAAGAACTCAGCTGGCATAAAGAGAAAGATGGGCCGAGTTTTAAGAGAGGGCTTGGGCCTCTGATGGGCTGTCTGATTTGTTCTCCTTGGTTTGAGCAAGGCTTGAAGGAAAAGAAAGAGTGGGTTCTTACCTTGGCAAGTGGGCTTAACGATGGGCCAAACCCAAACGGAAATGAAGAGAAGAAGAGAACAATGAGACTTAACATTGGGTTGGGCTCTAGCTCTTTCTTCCAAGTAGATATGGGTCTAGTTCAATGTGAAGGAAAAGAGGATTGGGTAAGGTTATGGGCTGTAATCACCACCAAGCAAGAATTTATGGAGCATAGCCTTGAAGGCCTCAAGCTAGAGCATGAAGAAGGACAATTCTCCAATTCTTATTCCATGGATTTTGAAAAGGAAGAGGAAGAATTGTTCGTTTATAGGAAACGTGACATGTGTCACGCAATTCGAAAAGAGTTGAAGGACGTTGGAGTTGAAGAAGTCATTCGTGAGTTGGAACGCAATTGGAAACGAAGAAAGCGGAAGGTCAAGGAGGTAGAAGTCAACTACAACCTTGAGGTCAAGGTTGTTCTCAAGGGGGATGGATTGTGAGAAACACATTTATTGGGGTTTCTATTATTATATTAGATAGGATAATTATTATTATGGTTAGTAGAGATTTAGTACAATTAGGTTATTCGTTAGGGTTTTCCAGTATTTCCCTATAAATATGTACTTTGGGTTTACGTCATAATCAAGAAGAATATTAAGCAAAGTCTCCTAAACCCTAAACTCTCCTCTCAACTCCTAATTTCTCATCTCATCCTAGTCCAAGGCCTCGGCCGATTCCCAATTCTATTCTATCTCATCTAAATCCCTAATTCCTTATCTCAATCCCTAAATCCCTAATTGTTACGATAATTACGGGTGCCGAAGATCAGTATCGAGAATCCCTAGAAGCGTGGTTCTCACACTGAGGTTCTTTTTTTTTTTTTTGGAGAAACAGGTACGGAGCTTCAGGTTCAGGAATTGCCTAACTTGGCTCTGGAAATTTCCTCAGCTTTTAAGTTAGTGGTCTTGAACTTCCCCACTATTTCAGCGTTTCCTGTCACTTCAAAGGTCATGTTAGCATGGCCCAACGAGTAGGCAGGTTAGGCAGTAATTCAAATTGTAGTTATTACGAATTGGGTCATTTTGGATAGTCTTGACATCCGAAGGCTCTATTGTTTGACAGGATGGACTTTTGGTTTTAATAGTTGAAGCTTTTTTTTTTCAGCCAAAGGACAAAGTTGGTTATCTTGTGATGGTTTGGAAGTTTGTGGCCGCGTAGCATCATCCCAAGGACAAAGGAAATATCATTATTTGAGAGGAAGTTGGGAGTTGTTGTAAGCAGAGAAGAACCAGATGGAGGGGAAGAAACAGAGTCGTCATCATCATTTCGTGCTGGTCCATGGAGCTTGCCATGGAGCTTGGTGTTGGTACAAGGTTGTTCCTTTACTGACACAAGCTGGCTACAAAGTGACGGCTCTCGACTTGGCCGCTTCTGGGATCCATCCAAAGCAGGTTACCGAGCTGGGTTCGGTCTCGGACTACCTGGCGCCACTTATGGAGTTGATGACTTCCTTAACAGGAGAAGAAGAGAAGGTGATCTTAGTTGGACATAGTATGGGTGGTGTTGGGATATCTGCTGCAATGGAAAAATTTGCAGAGAAAGTAGCTGTTGCGGTGTTTGAAGCGGCCATGATGCCAGCTCCTCATCCTGGTGTTGGCTATTCTCTTACAAAAGAAGAGGTACTTTTCCCTTCTCCTTCTCGTTATGGTTAAATTGGTTTTTCAGTTTCACATCGTATTAGAGTCGTTAATTAACGTTGGATTTGAGTAATAAAGTTACAAACTTTTATCCTTTTTGGGTACAAAAAGTTGCAGACTTTTAGTTTACACATCATCTTTCTCCGAGCAACCCCTACCTCTTTAGTTGTCTTATCTCTGCTTTTCTCTATGACTTGATCTGCAGCTCATTAACTTTAAATTATACGGAAAATTTTATGCAGTGTCTCAAGCAAATGGATTTCATGGATAGCCAATTCTCATTCCATGATGGTCCTGAAAATCCTCCGACCAGTGTATTGTTTGGACCCAAGGCGATGTCAACTAAATTGTACCAGCTCTCCCCGCCTGAGGTAACACCCTGAACACCCAATCTTCAATTTACATCCATTACTAAACCAGGAGTTTCCTCAGAGCATCTTTATTCGTTGACTTAGTGACGAGAAGCTGAAGTGGCAATTTTGTTTAGCAATTACAAAGGTGTAGATCTAATTCCCAAATATGTTGTTGTGCTTGGAAAACCCCCATATTGTAAACAGTTTAACCCTTTCGCTTTCTTCTAGTAAGCTGATTCTTTGTTCTCCCTAAGATCAAAATGTTACGATGGACCCAGTAACTGAAATTGAAATTGCTTAATTAACTAAATGCTAAAGTTGATAAGCGACACAAAGAGGTCGACATTTAGAATTGCTGATGAATTGCAAGGGTTAAGATAATGTACTACTACTGTCCTTTGCTGCAGGATTTAACACTGGGAATGATGCTTATAAGGCCCTGCCCTCTCTTCAACGATGCGGAAACAGAAGCTGAAATAGCCCTGACAAGCGAGAAATACGGATCAGTTCCTCGAGCTTATGTTGTCTGTGAAGCAGACGAAATTATCAAGCCGGATCTGCAGAGGTGGATGATCGAGAACAACCCAACTGACGATGTCAAACCCATATCTTCTGCTGATCACATGGCAATGTTCTCAAAACCACATGAGCTCTGCACCTACCTTTTGGAGCTTGCCAGCAAGTATGCTTGATGAGTGAACGATTGCCTCTGGCTTCGCCGCCCGTGGTAAAAGTTGATCTGGCAAATTTATAGAGTGCTACTGAAGTGTAATTGTATGTTGTGGATATCTTAATGTGAAAAAGGCAGAACTTTTCTGAGGGCTGACGGAGCAGGGTTCCTTTCTCTTCTTTAATTAAGCGGCCGTTGCTCCATGTCTGGAGAAGCGGCAGAGTTCCTTTCTCTTCTTAGTGACAAACGAAAACAAATGTGTATGAAATATGAAATCATTTTTCTCGTTCCAGAAGCAACATAAATTCACTGTACTCGTTCTCTTACAGGAATTATGGTTGGTTGGGGAGTTTCTGTAAGCAGAGAAGAACCAGATGGAGGAGGAGAAACAGAGTCGTCGTCATCATCATTTCGTGCTGGTCCATGGAGCTTGCCATGGAGCTTGGTGTTGGTACAAGGTTGTTCCTTTACTGAAACAAGCTGGCTATGAAGTGACCGCTCTCGACTTGGGCGCTTCTGGGATCCATCCAAAGCAGGTTACCGAGCTGGGTTCGGTCTCGGACTACCTCGGGCCGCTGATGGAGTTGATGGCTTCCTTAACAGGAGAAGAAGAGAAGGTGATCTTAGTTGGACATAGTATGGGTGGTGTTGGCTATTATGCCAGCTTCTCACTCCGGTGTCGGCTACTCTTTTCCAAAAGAAGAGGTACTTTTTCTCTTTCTCGTTCTTTATTGGGTAAACTGGTTTTTCTGTTTCACATCGTATTAGAGTCTTTAATCAACGTTGGATTTGAGTATTAAAGGTACAAACTTTTATCCTCTTTGGGTACAAAAAGTTGCAGACTTTTAGTTTACCCATCATCTTTCTCCGAGCAATTCCTACCTCTTTGGTGGTCTTATTGTTGCTTTTCTCTTGGACTCGTTCTGCAGTTCAGTAACTTTAGTAGTACGAAAACTTCTATGCAGTGTCTCAAGCAAATCGATTTCATGGATAGCCACTTCTCATTCCACAATGGTCCTGAAAATCCTCCGACCAGCATGCTGTTTGGACCAAAGCTGATGTCAACTAAATTGTACCAGCTCTCCCCACCTGAGGTAACGCCCGGAACACCCAATCTTCGATTTACCTCCATTACTAGACCAGGAGTTACCCTCAGAGCCTCCTTATCGGTTAACTTTCAATCGTGAAAGTGGCGAGAAGCTTAAGTGACAATTTGTTCAGCAATTGCCAAAGGTGTATATCTAATTGCCAAATGAAGTGTAGATAGTATGAAGGTCCTGAGTGAAGTAAATGCTAAAGTTAATTAATCCGGAATCTCCCTCAAGTGACTCTTCGCTTCCTTGCTCATCCAACCCAATCCTTCAGTAGTTTGGCACAGGCAGCATCGTAGTTCCTGCGAGCCTCTTCTACTTCCCGCTCAACTTGCTCTTCAGCTTCCTGAATCTTTCTGCGAAGCTCGGCTATCTTCGGCTCGTACGCTGCAGAAATCCTCCTTTCGTGACCGTTAAAGTCGCGGAGCTGGTGGTTAAATGCAGCCACCCGAGCTGCTCTTGTTCCCTTCTCCGTTCCCTGTTCCAGCCATTACCTGCCTTTTGTTATGTTTTCTGCGGGGTTGGAGTTTGCTGGAAATGAGGATGTATAGTGTATTGAGGTTTCCTGGTTTGTTGATGTTTATGGTTCCGAGGGCTGATGGAGCAGGCAGGGTTCCTTTCTCTTCTTTGATATAATTAAGCCGTTGTTCCATTTCTGGGGAAGCGGGAGAGTTCCTTTCTCTTCTTCCTAAACATGACAAGAAAGTTATTGCAGAAAAGTGTGGCAAATTTCAACGTTAATACACCAACTTTGTTAAATCAGTGTTTTTTTTTGGCAAAATACAGCTGTATAGCCATAACTTTCACACTTTTGACAAATATAGCCATATCTATTCGAAAACAACAAATGGCCTAAAAAACGGAAGGTAGTGTGACAAATCTAGCCAAAACCGTTAGAAACTTTAACACCGTCTGCGACTCCGTTAAATCGTTTGACGGAACGCTGACGAGGACGAAAACCGACCTCCACATCATTGACACATCAGCAAAACGTACATGTGGAATGCCACATAAATAATTAAAAAAAAATTAATTTATATATGTTTACTTCCCTTCCTCCTTCTTCCCTGTCCCCGAAAATCTAATTCTCACGATTTAGGGTTCGCACTTGCTGAAGACGACACCGCCGCTGGAGACCGCGACTCCGCCGCTGGAGACCGCGACGCTGTCGCTGGAATAGCTGCAGTGGTGGCAGGGGAAGGCGAAGACGAGGAGGCGGGACTCGGAGGAGAACCAGGGCGGGACTCTGATTTCATATCTCGATGGTAGACGTCGCAGCTGTGGCAGAATCGATGGTAGAGATCAGTTGCTGGAAGTACACACTTCATCTCTCAAACAGCCTCTCTCGATCTTGGAGAAAATCTCGCCGTCGCGGACGAGCTCCATGGCGATTTTGATCTTTGACTTGCTGCTCGCCATCACTTCGTGGAGCTCGACGATGGTGGGCTGAGGGGATTCTTTTCGTTGACGGCGGTGGTGGTTTGAGAGATCTATCAGATTTTTATTTCCGATCTGTCCCTTTCTTCCTAATTCCTAGACTTCGTTTCCTCCGCTTCTTCTTCTTCTTCTTCTTCTTCTTCCAGCAAGCACCATTGATACCTGGAAGCTCGCATTCAGGGGGCTTCTTGGAGTAGCGGCGAGGAGACGACTCAAAACCACACCTGCGATCTTTCCCTTCCTCTCACCTTTGCTCCTCTGCTGCACACCCCCACCGGGATAATTTCACCATCGGTGTCGATTTTCACACTCCTCAACGATCCCCCTTTTTCGCCGCCTCCGTCGCTGCTTTTACGAGTCCGCTTCTTCCTCTAGGTAGATTCAAGAATGAAGAAAATCGTAATTCAAGGACAGAGGAAATCGAGATTCCAGATCTGGCGAAAGATGGGGATTTTGGAATGGGGCTGATGCCATCGGCGGAGGAGTTGGGTAATCATCAATCATCTTCACCCAACCTCGGCGTATCTCGGCTTGGCCCACGGTGGCGAGACTCTGTCTCGGGTGTGAAAGGAGAAGCTCCGCCACGGGGGGGCGACTTCTTCTCTGCTGTGTGAGGAGTTGGGGGTTTAGATGGTGGCAGATTGATGGCGGCTGAGATGGGTTTGGATTTGATTAGGTTGTTGGATTCAAATTTGGTTTCAGAAAATGGCAATGTGGAAGGAAGGAAGAAGACGAAATGGGCAGAGTGAGCAGTGCACGAAGATTGGAAGAAATTGAGATGGGTTTCATTAAAAAAAAAATTTTCCATTCATATATCCCCGTGGAATGGTTACTGATGAAATGTCTCCACGTCAGCTTTTCCGTTAGTCTAGTCAGCATGTTAGATGACACCGTTAAAGGGATGGACGGAAATGGCTATTTTGTGTTTTCGAATAGTTATGGCTATATTTGTCACAAACGTGAAAGTTATGGCTATACAAGTGTATTTTGCCTTTTTTTTTTACCAAGAAAACTTCCAATTTCATTTCCCATGGGACAGCAGTTACACTATGCATCAGGATACAAGGAGAGGTGAAATAATACTAAGAATTGTCATCCAATCTGGAGGGAGTAAATTCCTAGCAAGCGATTTGGCCACCCAATCCGCTCTCTTGTTAAGCTTGCGTCCGAAGAAAGCAACCTTGATGAAGCCGTTACGCGTTAGAATGTCTTGAATAATCCCTAGCCAAGCAGAAACTCTCCATGGCCACTTAGGGGGGTCAGCTGCAAGGGCAAGAATCAGAGAAAGACAGTCCGAACGAATCAAACACGGCGTGGTTAAATCGGTGTTATTGTAGGTAGAGGTGGTGGAGTTGGATAAGATAATATGGTTCAATAGTTTCAAAATAATGCAATTGGATCAAATCATGGTTGTCAAACCGGTTTTGTGCCGGCCAGTTCAACTGGGTACAACCGGTACCGGTCACCAAACCGGCTGGAAAGAGGCCGGTATTTAACTGTAGTCAATGCCGGTCAGATCCGATCAATTTCGGAAATTCCGACCGGTTAGATCAGAAACCGGAATTCAATATTACACATATTATATCCAAAAATAAACACCTTCCTTAAGATTTGAACCAAGTATCTCATGTTCATTTTAGTCTCGCTTATACACCAGTAGGGTACAAGCAACTTTGTTGTATATATTAACCTTATATATTATATATCTAATACTTAATTTTACACAAATCATTATAAACATTAATAAAATTCATTTTATATACTCTTATTTTTAAGCATCTAATTGTTTAGTATTAGTTACCAATTCTTAGCTATAAATTATTTTGTGTGAAATAATTTTTCTAATTGCTTTTTTATGACTAATTTATTTGGAATTGAGGATTTTCATTTATCTTATATATTTTATTAAAACCGGCACAACCGGCGTGAATACTGATTGTACCACGGTCGGACCATTCCACTTTCAAAACCGGCACACCGGTATAAACTGGTTTGACAACTTTGGATCAAATAATTTGGTTTGACAACACAAAATGTGGATGTAATAATTGTGATGAGAAAATTTAAATTGTCTTGTTTTGCATAAGTTTGAGGTCGTTTGAATGATGAAATTTGATGAGACAATTTGGTTCAATTGCCTCAAAATGAAGCGATTAGGTCAAATAGCCACGTTTGGCAACACTAGATGTGGATGCAACAATTGGGATAAGTCAATTTAAGTTGTTTTGTATTTGCATCATTTTAAATTGACAAAGAAAAGATAAGTAGTGTAAAAATGATGCATTTTATAAGACAACTATGAGATGAGACATTTGGATAAAATTACCTCGTTTCGGAAATTTACCATCCAAACAAATCGTATGGAGAGCCTTAATTAGCGAGAATGTGAGACTCCTGGAGTCGTTACTTTTTACAAAGAAATTTAACATGAAAGTGTTCTTTAAAATTATAAGTATTATACATGACTCATAGTAGTTGCAATTGTTTTATTAGGATAGGAAACAAGATAATGAAATATTAAATGTAAGAACAAATGACAACATTATACAAATGACCCATTTAAGAATAACTCATCTAAAAACTATTAAACAAACAACACATTTGTAAATGTATATATTCACAAATTTTACATTTCTCAAATGTCTACATTTGACCAAATGACTTATTTTGTAATAACTCATGCGAAAAAGTAAGTTAACATCCATAAATATAGGATTATGCATAGTTATCCATAACCTTGTTATACATTCAAAGATCTTGGGTCTGCTTTTTAGACTTCATATTACACAACCATTCTAGTTTTGTGCTTATTTCTTGGGTGACTTACACATTCTTAATAAAACATATCTTTTTTTTAATTAATCAAACTTCATATGTTATCCAAAACAAACAACAATCCTATACCCATTTTAGGTTTTTAACCATCTATCAACTAACAACTATTTTCCAATCTTAGCATGAAGTAGTACAACACTAAATCTACCCAAACCCACAAATTAACAACAAACTAGGCAAGGTTGTGCCATTTCCAAACGAATCACACATTGACATGTCGAATTTCGTCGTTACAATACCTATATATGCTTATTCAAAAGCGCTCTTTCCAAATCTGTCTAGTTGTTTCCCAAACAAACAAGAGGCTCTTGCACACTAAATTAAGCTTTTTGATAGGCCTAAATATAATGTTTTCTCTGCATATTTTCCTCTCATTCGTAAGAAACCGGCCAATTATCATCTTATATGTAAAGCATCATTCGGTTCTTCGGTTGTTCTATTGCATAGGTATGAGTTCGAAGTTCGTCAGTCGAGGAGCAATGCAAGGAATTTCAAAGGATTCCGAGACCAGTAAGGCTTTGAAAGATTCCTCTTCTTCATCATCTAATTTTTCAAATAGTACGAGAAATCTCTCCCGCGTCACGACTAATTTTAATGGCAGCATGATGAAAGAATGTAATAAGGTTAAGCAGGTGGAAGAGTCGCTGAGAATTATTATGTACATAAGTTGTTGGGCTCCTAATTGAATGGTTGACAACCATGTTCATTACGTAAAGTGCAAGCGATGGATTAACAAATCTATATCTAAGTTTCGCCTTCTTGCGATCGGTTTGTAAATTGTAATTGTAAAAAAAGAAGATAAAAAACTCTTTGCAATGGTTCCCCTGGGATAGTATATATCTATGCCTACATTAGGGTAAGGTTGTCAAACCGGTTTATACCGTTATACCGGTTTTACGAAATCACCTATATTTATATAGTATGTTTATGATTCAGCATTGTCAAACATATTATTTGCGATCAATTACCACATACATACCACATGTCACAAAGTATCACGTTTAAATTAATTATAGGTAGTGATATTGTTGATACGATATTTACACTCAAATTTATTACTTTACCAATTTGTTCGTTTTAACCCCATATCTTTCTGACTTGGTCAGCTTGTGTACATATTTGATCAACATACATATGTTGTGATATTAATATATACAAAATTTTATAGATTTAAACGATTCAAATCACTTATAAAGTATTAAAAATGTATATGCTAAACGTGCTATATCGTAGTTTACCCAATATCATCAACATAACCAATTGACATTTTAATCGATTTGCACAATTTTTATTTATGAATGATATGGGATTTTGTTAATGTGACACTAAATGGGTGTCAACAAATGCAAAGATGAATTAGGAGTACAAAGAAGAGAGCACAAGTAGATAGTACACACAGTGTAGAAAGACAATAGAGGTGAATACACTTGAAAGAAAACTAATCATGTCGGTACAGTTTCAAAATGAAGAAGTGGGTCTTCACGGTGGGCGAAATGCAGTTACAGATTCTAAGCCAGGGAGAATGATTAAAGGATAATGTTGTGAGTGAAATTCCAATGCACAATTTGATTAATATCATCAAATCACTCCCACAATATCATTTAATCATATTTCTTATTCGATAATTTGCTAAAACCAAATGACACTTTCTATTGTTATAACTAAAATAATAATAGAGGTGTCTTATTTTTTCTTTGTGCACTTTCACTCATACTACCAATCTAAAGAGTAATTATCTGCTACCTTAGAAAGGCAATCGAAGAGCTTTATGGGTTCACAGAGCATCGCCATATGATCCGATTCCTTAATCTCCACCACTTCTTCCACAACGTAATTCTGAATCATCCATCGCTGGAACTCCTCTTCCATCCCTCGATCCTCGTTGCAAATCACATAGACTCTGCTCACTGAACCATACCCTTCCTCTGTAAACTTCTCTGCTTTTCCGAGATCGTGCAGGAAGAGGGAGCTCGGCCTCGCCAGTGCCTTCGCCAGCTCCATATCCTTTTTATGGGAAACACGAAGAAACCCAGAATCAGAGTGGAGAGAAAAGAAAAGAAAATTAAAAAAGCACGTAGCTTGGCAGTGAAAATGGAAAATACCTCTTTGGAACAGAGTTGGTAGAGCCTGGAACAGAGGAATTCAGGCCCAAACAGAATGGTCAGGAAATCGGATTGCGAGCTGCTGTTTGTTGGTGCGAATTCAGTGTCCAGCCACGCCCCTGGTGGAGCTCTTGCAAAACACTGAAAAATCAGATCACCCATCAAAATCCAGAGAAAAAAAGCTTCAACCTTTTTCTCAATTACGGTGCTCTGTAAATTCGACCGTTATACCTGATCGATGACGAACGACGGGGGATGGAGCGTGTCGGGCATGAAAGCCGACAAGAAAACTGCGGCAGCAATCTTTTGAGGGAAAATCTCCATCGCCAGGGCGCAATTCATGCCGCCGAAGCTGTGCCCAACGACAATTACCTTCTCGTCGACACGGGCCAGAGCGTCGAGCAGGGGCTGCGTGTAGTCACGGAAAGTGGGGACTTGTCCGATCGCCTTGCCGTTGATCCCTGAAGCCGCCATGTCGAGGGCGGTGACGCGGTGGCCTGCGGATTCCAGCAGAGGCTTGAGCTTGAACCAGGACCAAGCTCCGTGGCAGGCTCCGTGGACAAGCACGAAATGTGCCCTTTTCTTTGCCTCCCCTGCCATTGTCGTTTCTTAATTTGGTGGGTTGTAATGCAGGGGATTTGGGGCGTTCATTTAATAAAGGCTGATTTTACTGTGTCTATGGTGACATCATTTATCCGGATTCCGGTGGTATTGGGAGTTGCGAGTCTCGTTCATGGTCTTGGGACGCCATTGTCATCTGTCAGAAGAACCTTTGAAATTTGAATAGGGAATAGCCAGCCATTGACTGAGCTAGATTCACCTAGACCCTTGAGGCAGAGGCAACTTTTGAGGACCTTAAAAGGGCCATTAAGATTTAAGACCACTCGTTTGGTGGCATCTAAAGAGTCCAACCACCTAATTCACTCATTTTTACTTTTGTTCAAGTAAATGTATGCTTATTTACACCGTAATGTTGTTTATTCACGCACAGGCAGAGTGATGATCCCTGCGAGCCTTCTCTAGATTCCTCTCAAGCTGCTCCTCAGCTTCCCTTATCTTTCTGCGGAGCGCGGCTACCTTTAACTTGTGGGCAGCTATTACCTTCCTCTCCGCAGCAGCATACTCCTGAAGCTGGCGGTTAAATACAGCCACCAGGGCTGCTCTCTGCCTCTGCTCGTCCCCTGTTTCTGCCATTTCCTGCTCTGTTTATTTTGTCCTGTGACCAAGCTGTCTCGAGAAATGAGAGCTTATATACAGGAGAGTAGTTGATGTTTACGGTTCCCAGGGTTTGGCAAAGCAGGGAATCAATCAAATATCAGTTAATTAATCCGTTGCTCTGTGTCTGGTGAAGCGGCAGAGGAGAGCAGATCGAGCTCCTTTTCCTCCTTCCAAAACAAGACGAGAAGTTACTGGGGGAAGAGACTGGCCAATCTCTATCAGCAAGAGAACATGTTGGTCTTTTAAATGCTCGTCTTGGGGGAGATAATGCGGTGCATTATCCAAAGCCATACACCAATTCATAACTCTTTCTGTTATTAATTTGGATTTCCAATTTCTTTGAGTTCCTTGAAGATGATGATTGTAGAAATGATAGACACACGAGATTGAGGATGCAAACAAATGCTGCGTCATTTGGTTTTTAATACAGTCTCATCAATACAATCATGGTGTCATGTCGAAAAAATAAGGGTGCTTCATTTTTGTGTGCATTTTGACCCCTACTACTACCGATCAAGAGTGTAATTATTTGCTATCTGAGAAAGACAATCGAAGAGCTTCCTGGGTTCGCAGAGCATCGCCATGTGATCCGATTCCTTGATCTCCATCACTTCTTCAACAACGTAATTCTGAATCATCCACCTCTGGAACTCCTCGTTTATCCCTTGATCCTCATTGCAAATCACAAACACTCTGCGCACAGAACCGTACCCTTCCTCTGTAAACTTCGCCGCCTTGCTCAGATCGTGCAAAAACAGAGAGCTCGGCCTCACCAGCGCCTTCCCCAGCTCCAAATCCTTTTTCTCAGAACATAAATATCATATTCACTAAATACCCATTAAGAGGATCGAGAAACAAGTTGAATTTAGTATTTTTCATACCTCTTTGGAACAGAGTTGGTAGAGCTTAGAACAGAGGAACTCAGGCCCAAAATACATGGTCATGAAATCAGGCTGCGAGCTGCTGGCTGGTGCGAATTCAGTGTCCAGCCACGCCCCTGCTGGAGCTCTTGCACAATACTGCAAAAAAACCCCATCGAGATCACCCCCAATTAGATTCCAGAGAGAAATAAAAAGCTTCAACCTTTCTCCATTACCAATTTACCACCCTCTGTATATCCAACCCTGTTACCTGATCGAGGACGAAAGACGGGGAATGGAGCGTGTCAGGCATGAAAGCCGACAAGAAAACTGCGGCAGCAATCTTTTCAGGGAAAATCTCCATCGCCAGGGCGCAATTCATGCCGCCCAAGCTGTGCCCAACGACAATGACCTTCTCGTCGACGAGGGACAGAGCGTGGAGCAGGGGATCCGTGTAGTCGCGGAAAGTGGGGACTTGTTGGATTGCCTTGCAGTTGATTCCTGAAGCCGCCAGGTCCACGGCGGTGACGCGGTGGCCGGCGGATTCCAGCAGAGGCTTGAGCTTGAACCAGGTCCAAGCTCCATGGCAGGCTCCGTGGACCAGCACGAAGTGTGCCGTCTTCTTCTTTGCCTCCCCTGCCATTGTCGTTTCTTAATTTGTTGGTTGTGTAATGCAGGGGATTTGAGGGGGGCGTTTTTAAAGGCTGCATTTTTTACTGTTTCCATGGTGATTTCGTTCCTCTGGTGGAGAAAGGGTTAGGTAGTGGAGTTGGCGTGTCTTTGTTTATTCATGGAATTGCGAGGTAGAGAGAGGCGAGAGACTCTTCTTGAGGACTGCAAAGAGAGCCATGGCCGACCGCTGCGACTCCAGCTGCCATGGCCGAACTTGTCAGAAAACAGAAACTCTATTGCTTTCACGTGTCGAAGACTGTATGGCGACTCAGCCAAGTTAGCCGTTGAACTATGGAAAAAGGAGGTGCTGAACATTCCCAGTCCTCCCACAATTGAAGAAAACGCGATCAAGTGATTTTGTCAAACGGTAGAATGGATGGCGCACTTATCTGTTTGCAATGAAATTGCACCATCATGTAAAGGAAAACAATCGACAGGTTAGAGAAGGTTATGCTGGATCTTATACCACTCTCTAACACGCCCCCTCAAATGAAAGCCAACCCACGGGCTTGAAGTTTGCACAGGCCCACCATACCATGTGCTTGAAAGACAACGGTTAATATTGGGGGTCGTGGAGATTCGAACACATGACCTTTCGGTTCTAGGCTCTGATACCATGTCATGAACCAGTTGGTCCCAATAACTCGAGTTGTTGGGAGAAGGTTATGCTGGATCTTATACCACTCTCTAACAACCATGTCAAGAACCAGTTGCTCCCAATAACTCGAGTTGTTGGGAGAGGGTTCTGCTGGATCTTATACCACACTCTAACACGCCCCCTCAAACGAAAGCCAACCCATGGGCTTGAAGTTTGCACAGGCCCACCATACCATGTGCTTGAAAGACAACGGTTAATATTGGGGGTCGTGGAGATTCGAACACATGACCTTTTGGTTCGAGGCTCTGATACCATGTCAAGAACCAGTTGCTCCCAATAACTCGAGTTGTTGGGAGAAGGTTCTGCTGGATCTTATATCACTCTCTAACAAGATAGAATGGTTGACCAGTTAGTAATTACCTTATAAGGTGTCAGAATAAGATGGGTCCGTCACTAGAAATGTTTTAATATTTGCAACGTTACTCCACCATTACAAAAAGGAAAGTAATGGTTGATCCGAGCAACAGAACGGTCGGTCGGTTGACCATTACATTATCATGTTTAGAATAAGATTCCATCACTAGAAATGTCAATATATGCACAAGGACATTGCTACCATTTAACCCAAGTTGATATCAACATAAACTACTGCAAATAACCATCTACGGTATTAGTTTATCACTCTAAAAATCGTGCAAACAAATTCTTTATAATGATTAATTTCGTTGTAATTGTGTCATCCGGTCGAAATTAAGACTTTTTACCACATAATTGTTAAGACTTTTTAAATCAAAATTAAAACCGGTACCATGATTGAGATATTTTATTTTAACAACAACTAACATCAAGTTACCTAATTATTCATACAGAAAACATTATCTTATAAGAATTTATATTCAATCAAATCGAAAACAGAATCCTTGCATTACATCACACCTTATTGAAAAATATAAGAGTTGAATGAATGTCACCATTATTGAAAAAGTGATAATCAATAATAATTAAAGGTAGTTGTCAATATCATTTGAAGAATATTATTGTCAAATCATTAACAACTATAATAAATTATTTCAAGCAATTTCATCAAAAAATTGACGCAAATTCTCATAAATTATACTTGAGGTTTATATTATTAGTCTTATCAAATGATTGTCAATTATTATATTGTTAAAGTACCAATATGTAAATATGCCATATAGGCTTCTGTTAGGGTTTAGGTCTCTAGACCTATATATACTCATGTAACCTGTGAAAAAGTACTAAGCAATAAGAAAATCATATAAACGGCGAGTGAGATATGATTTACCTATGCAATCTTTGACACTGATAAGCTAATTTGTTCGGACAATCTCATCAATTTCATCAGCCACTCACACTCACACAAGGCTGTCAGTGTGTTATTATAATTAAAAATTAATGATGCATAATCTTTTCTTTGTGTTTTTATACTCATACTGTATCAAACTGAAAGGATGAAGCAGCTGAAGAAATCCTCGGTTGATCGGGATTTGCTCGAAGAGAAACAGAACAAGAAGAAGACGTTTCAAGTTTCGTTTTATAAGCTCTGTTTATTTAAAGTTGAGCGATGTGTAACTGGTATTGTTAAATCAGTTTGAGCCGCTATAAAAACAGAGACGACGACTCTGCAAGTTTTTTGGCCCTTCCTCTTTCGCGTAATCCTTTGCGAAAATTGTCATACTACCACTGATCAAGAGTAATTATCTGCTATCTCAGAAAGACAATCGAAGAGCTTCGTGGGTTCACAAAGCATAGCCATGTGATCCGATTCCTTGATCTCCATCACTCTTTCGACGACGTAATTCTCAATCATCCATCTCTGGTACTCTTCTTTTATCGCTCGATCCTCATTGCAAATCACAAAGACTCTGCGTACCGAACCGTATCCTTCCTCTGTAAACTTCTCTGTCTTGCTCAGATCGTGCAAGTACAGAGAGCTCGGTCTCACCATCGCCTTCGCCAGCTCCAAATCCTTTTTATGGCAACATGAACAAGTAGTTAATGTAGTTGAAACAATATGCAACTAGAGGACTGTTTAGGCTGCTGCGCGTATCGTACCGGCTATTCGTCCGGAAAAATATTCTTTGCGATTAAGACGGTAGGCGATTTTTTTTAGTGGTATGAAACGCCAGTTAAATCATAATTTTAGTACAAAATACTTTATCCGCTAACTTTTCCCGTACAACCTTTAATACGATTTTACAACATACCTCTTTGGAACAGAGTTGGTAGAGCCTGGAACAGAGGAATTCAGGCCCAAACAGCATGGTCAGGAAATCGGGTTGTGAGCTGCTGGCTGGTGCGAACTCGGTGTCCAGCCACGTCCTTGGTGTTGCTCTTGCACAGTACTGAGAAATGACCCAAATCTCCATTTATCGTCAAACAAAGTTAGCAACGACGAGCACTTTTACTATGCTTTAAAGTACTGGTACTTTTAAGGTACAACTAATTGAAGTTGTACCACAACATTAAACGTACAGATTAAAGTTGTATCACAAGAGAATTTGACATTTATATTATGGTACAACTTTACAACTTAGAAAATCCGAGAAGAAAAATACTATGTTACCTGATCCAGTACGAACGACGGGGAATGGAGCGTGTCAGGCATGAAAGCCGACAAGAAAACCGCCACCGCAATCTTCCCCGGGAAAGTCTCCATAGCCAGGGCGCAACTCAGGCCGCCAGAACTATGCCCAACAAGAACAACCCTTTCATCGTCGTCGCCGCCGGCCGCCGGTTGCAGAGCGTCGAGCAGCGGCTGCGTGTAGTGACGGAAAGTGGGGACCCGGTGAATCGCCTCGCCGTCGATCCCCGAAGCCGCCAGGTCCACGGCGGTGACGCGGTGGCCGGACGATTCGAGGAGGCGCTTGAGCTTGAACCAGCACCAAGCTCCGTGGCAGGCGCCGTGGACCAGCACGAAATGGGCCGCCTTTTTCTTCTTTCCCTCCCCTGCCATATCCGCGGTAACAAAAAAACAGAGATACGGTCTTTTTTTTTTTTTTTTGGGGAGGCGTTTTGTGATTTCGTTTTGGGTTTTTGATTCTCTGAAATCTTGATCTCGTGGTGGAGATGAGATATGACGGAAGGTGTGGATGGGGGAATTGTGGGTCTCGTTGATTTGAGATGTCGGTAGGACAATCGGATTCAATCGATGTTGTTTTTGCCATAATAGAGAGTTGTGGGTTAGGCGATCCTTCATCGTCTTTCTTTGGCTCATGAAATCTGCGGTGGAGATAAGAAACGACAAAGGGGTCTCGTACGGCGATGACGACTGACGAGTGGTGCAAGTGGACTTGTTTCGTTGGGGAGTAAAAGGCGCTCATGAACGGCTCGGCGTTCGGTTTGAGAAAAATTCGTTCAATACTCGATTCGTTTTAATCGAGTCGGCTCCGAATAAGCTCGTTAACTAAACGAATCGAATTCGAGCCATGCCGTGTTCAGCTTGAAAGCTCGTGGTGAGCAAGATCATTTAACGGTTTGGCATCAGGAAGGATTGGAATTCATGGTTTTTATGTATTGGAATAAATATTGTTTTATTTTAATTTTGCTAGACTTTTTACCGGGGTTAAATGTGATTTTGTGCTCAGTTTTACTTCTGACTCAATCTTGAACTATCATGAACATTTTATGAGCTGAACTCGATTTTGTGCTCGTTAACCTTATTTGATGAAGCGAGCTTGAGTCGAGATCGAGCTTTCATTTTCATAAACGAGTCGAGCTCGAACTTGCATATTAAAGTTTGTGACGAACTCGAGCTGAGCCCGAACTATGGCAGAGTTCGGCTCGGGCCTGATTATTAATAGCCCTAGGCACAGTGGTGTGTAGGACGACTTTAAGTACACTGGGATCCTCACAAAATTGAATAATCCTAAAATCTGTGTATTTAACGAAATATGAATTGATTGGGGGTTATTGGATGAGCTAACATCGATAAAATATGAGGTCCTAAACTTGACATATCATACTAAACTTTATGTATTTAAAGAAATTTGGTTGTCTCATTTTTTGCCAAGTAAGGTCCTAGGACCCCACTCCTCTCCACCTCCTTCCGCCATTGCCTGGGCGGATTCCTTTTTTCCTCCTCCGTTTACGGGGCATTAACAACCGTTTTTTAGCGAATGTTGTCCTCTCAAGGGTGGGTTTTTATGCATTGCTTAATGCTTATTCGTTCAGGGATTAACTTGTATCTATGTGCTTTGCATTCGCTCAGAGTTCGCTCCGAAACATATAATCGTCTCTACCCCTCACGTCAATCCAGCGAGCCTCTCTCTTTCATTCTCATTCAATCACGACGTGGGGAGCAAGTCAATCTAGAGAAAACATTGAAATGGTACAACTAATTGTATACAATGTTAGAGGTGATCAACTAGCTTGTATCGTGTATGCTGGCCACATCCGCTGGAACTACGAATTTTTACGGTTATTTGTGTAAGTTCAATGAATTTCCTACTTGTATTGATGTGAATGGGTTGCAAACGGGACTAATTCGCATTAAACTTCGAAAACTCAACTTAAAAACACAGTAACTTTGGTGCATAAGCTTAATGCGGATGTATATCAAACGATTCGTGGTTGGATGCGCTCCAACAACGTGACTCGAGTTAGTCGGAACATCTGATTTTTGACATGATATCATAATTTTTTCCCGTCTTTGGATTCGGACGACCATTATGTATTAACTGTCGACTTTATTTAAAAACACATTGTAAGAAAACGATACATTCTTAGTTTTCACCCCATATCGCAACTACTCAAATTATTCGGAGCAACCATCTTACTATGAAATCAGGTGGAAATCTCCAGGAGGGAGGAGTAAAGCTCATCAGGTTTGGAGAGCATAACCATGTGGTCAGCTCCTGCGATGAACTTCACGTCTTTGGGTGGACTGTTTTGAATGAACCATTCCTGTAAATCTTTCTTCATAAGTTGATCCTCTTCAGCTACAATGAAAACCCTCTTCACAGATCCGAATCTATTCTCTGTTAGCAGAGATTCCTGACTCAGGTCCTTCAAAAACAATCCGTTCTCCCTCGCCAGCAACTTCGCCAGTTCCAGATCCTGATTGCATTGTGATGAGGCAAACACAAACCCAGAATCAAAATGCAAGGAAAGTAATATAGCTTAGGTCTTAGGAGGTTTGACTATGGCAAAAACCAGATTTTTTTTTTGGTTATATGAGTACTTTGTTATTTGTGAATATCTTAATATCCGATACTCGTAAATATCACACAAATTTATACCAATAATTAAGATGATCATATAACAATGTCAATTGTCATTATAAAGGTAAAACAGAAATAAAACCACCAAAGATGCTTCAAATCATGGTAACCACTGGTGGTATGCCAACCGGATTCAACCGGTATTGGACACAAACCGAATGGAAGACCACCGGTACGAAGAGGTAGTCAAAACCAGTAAAAAAAGAGGTCAAATTGTTTAAAAACCCGGGAAAATCAGGGGTCCTACTGGAATGATCAATTTCAGTTCCTAAACAAAATGATGTCTTTTTATTTTGTGGAATTAATGAACTAAAGAGAGGAATTTGTTGTATTCAAGCACGAACATTTGGATGTTGATGTTGGTAGTTGGATTCAAATATAAACGTTTAGATCTTGACGTTAAATGTTGAATTTAAATATAATGATTTGTCGTTTTGTTTGTTTACTTAAATATAAATTTAGATTACAGAGAGATTGTCTTAAGATAGCGTATGTATATAAACAATTAATTTATTATTAATTAATTGTTTCCCACATTCTTTCTCATGTTTTGTTAAAATCGACAAAAACAAACATGTAAACCAGTTATATACCGATTGAACCATATCACTTATTAAATCGATGTAAACGATATAAACCGATTAGAAAACCACTCTATCACTACGATATCACAAAGATACTGGACCTACTTTTGTTTAGGTATGTTTAGAAATTAGAAACGTGGGGATAAGTGATAACCCCTGAAAGCAAAAAAAAGTTTCCAAAAACAGGAAAACCTGGGGTGGGCTCTCCTGATAGAGACTCGTCGCCATGTGACGTGGGCCAAATATGGCCGAAGTTGGTGGGCTGTCAGGCCCATCCGCGAAACGGACCTGCGAATCCATCAATGCCTCCGCCGGCGTCCGGTTGAAGAACTTCCGTCCACGGCAAAAAACAGGGGAAAGCAAATTAAACAGAGAGCTTTACAAATCAACCGGCGGGAAACCCAATCCAGAGGAGGAAAAACCAAAATTACAGAGAAGTACCTCAAGGACTACATTCGCCGGTGGGGAAGTGGAGTTGGGCATCAACGCCGTGACGAAAACACCCACCAAGACCTTACCGGGAAACTTCTCCATGGCCAGGGAGATGGCGATCCCGCCGTAGCTATGACCCACAAGGATCACTTTCTCTTCCTCGGGGAGACCGGCGAGGAAACCCACCAGCGGGCTGACGTAATCGGTGATGGAGTTGACCTCGTCAAGCCGCCGGGGATCGATGCCGCTGCCGCCGAGGTCCAGGGCTGTGGCCTTGTGGCCCGCCGATTCGAGCAGAGTGACGAGCTTGTACCAGCACCAGGCGCCGTGGCCGGTTCCGTGAACCAGAACGAAGTGGCTCTTCATTTTTAGCTGGCGACGGCGGTCGGTGGGTGTGGTTTGAAATGACAAGCGTGGAGCCAAAAAAACAGAGTAAGAGAAACAGAGACGGGAGCAAAAGAAACAGAGTATGAGTCAAGAGAAAAAAGGGAAATCTGTGTGGATGTGTTTCTCCGGCCAAGTTCTTGATACAGTGGCGTCAAAAGATCGACCGACCGTAGAATCCACCTAACCAGATCTTTCCTTCTGTGACTGAAAGCCAAAATTTCATTTGTTTTTGGATGATTTCTTCTGTAATATCTTTCCATATCCCTAATCCTACATTTACCAGGCCGTTCCCACAGGTCTTGTCGCTATTTGCCTGACGTTTACTTTGGCTTTTTATGGATTCCGACCTCTCTACACATTTGCCAAAAAAAATTCAGTTTTATGGCTTACCTTGTCGATTTGGATCGTTCTTTAGATCTTGAAATGTGATGTTTGGTTTGTGGGTTAATAGTTTGGTCCAAAATTTGGTCGTGTAAGTATTGATTTTGGCCCCAACTTTTAAATAATATAGTTACGGTCAACTTTTGAAAATAATGATTTGTTTAATCGATAACATTAAACAAACTGATTCACCGCCCCAGAGGTTACAACGCTAATCCGTGTTTGAAAATGACGAATGTTCTCTTCCCCACATTACAATACGATATTTGCTCATTCCGACGAGCAGTTAACCTGACTCACATTCTGGTGATCGCTAGGCTGAACTACTTCTTCCTGAAGCTGGTCACCATCACAACTCAACCAATCCTCATCAGCAACTTCCAGCAGGCACTGACAGAGCTCGTTCGGCTTCGACAGCATGACCATATGATCAGCTCCTTCGATGTACTTCACCTCGTCCGGCGGGTAGCTCTCGATGATCCTTTCCTGGAATTCCTGCATCGTCACGATGTCATCTTTGCACACAATGTACACCCTCTTCACAGAGCCATATTTGGCCTCGCTCAGCAGGGATTCCTTGGACATGTCCCCCAGGAAGAACTTGAATGGCCTCATCATTAGCTTGGCCAGTTCCAGATCCTGAAAAAGCACAAGCAATTAAGTTTACATTCTTCAAATTGGCTGTGATTTGAAAGAGAGACCTGATGAATGTTTGTGCAGAAGGTAGAAGAACTTGCCTCTGGCTGGCAGTTTGTGTACATTATGGTTTCCAGGTAAACCGGCCCAAAAAGTGCTGATATTGGAAGCCTTTCTTGTTCTTTGTCGAATTCTACTTCACATAGTGCAAATACCTCCTCTGGTGTCCTCTCCAGGATCTGTTGTTGTTGTAGAACAGCAGCAGCAGCAGCAGCAGCAGAACCAATGAAATAACCATCATTTACAATGTTAGATTACAAACATACATCGAGACTCGACACCTACAACGTTCGCACAACGGAGTTTGTACCACATTTATCAGCAAACATAGGCATATTTGTCGAACTGCGTGTTCCATAACTTTGTATGGTCGTTCACTTTTATCGATCGCGTAGAAAAATGTTTCGTAATAAGCATATAACTTAATCGAGTATCGAACTCGAGACTCTATTAAAGCAGAAGAGTAACTAAAAGGGAAAAGGAAAGGTGCTTTGATTGTTCATTGTAAGGATTTCTTCTAATTTTTGTTTACCTCTATCATGAGAGTGGCAGGAGGCTCGACGAGATTAGGCATTTCAGCAGTGACAAAAACAGCCACCAACACTTTCTGAGGGAACATTTCCATGACCAGAGATATAACGTAGCCACCAAAGCTGTGACCCACCAGAATCACCTTGCCATCATCTTCAGGCAGGGAGGCCATGAACTCCATCAACGGCCGAGCATAATCCGAGATCGTGGCAATCTCGTCCAGCCGATTAGGATCCACCCCGGAAGCTCCGAGATCGAGAGCAGTAACTTTGTGACCACTGGATTTCAGGAGCGGGATCAGCTTGTACCAGCACCATGCTCCATGGGCTGCACCATGAACCAACACAAAGTGCTTCTTTCCCTCTTCCATACTTGAGCTTTTCTGATTGGGGGAAACAATGGTGATTTCGATTATATTGACGCCCAGAATATGCCTTGGAGAGACGGCTAATGGAAGGTTGAAGTGAACGAGGGGGAAACACTTGTGGCCTTCTAGGGAGTTCCTCCATTTTCATTGGAAGTGTCATTTAGCAGTGAGTAGTGACAAACAATTGTTACAGTGTGAATCTCCATTTTGGGAGCTTTGGTTTTACCGTCTGTTGGCGCATACTCTGTGCAGTTTTCATACACAGCTAATAACAATGGGTTCATATTATGTTTTTATGTATTTCATTTTCAGCATATGTCATGTTCATGTGAAATGCATTCTGTTTGTATATCAATAATGCATGTATTTCTGAGTTCCTTATATTTGTTAGGCTGCTTGTGGTGTTTTTGCTTTTTTTTTTTCAATCATATTGTAATTTTATTTTAATTAATCGACCTGATGCTGACATGTCAGACACGTGAATCCTGACTATATGTCTGCAAATTACTAGCCTTGTTCATCATCTCTATGCACTTCCTACGCTAAGACTACCAAGCATTCTGAATGAGAAACTCTCATGATCATGACTCAATCAACTATGAACATTTAAAATGTCACAACAAGTCACAGCCATGTTCATCATCCTGGCTGTAAAATCCGGTGACCGGAGCAACTCTTTCGTTCGAGTTAAACTGCCAGCTTTGAATAATAAGTATTGGATAAATCCGGTTCATATTCAGATAGAATTCATAGATCAGGATATACTTCTCGAACGAGTAAGCAGAATCGGGAAAGTTATGTACAGTTTTACATGGTACTCTATGCACCGCCGAAGGCTAAAGAACTAAGAGCAGAGAACCCCTTTAAGAGGGGAGACTCCAAGTTGATATTTACAATTTGTTTTCACAGAAACATGTTCCAATGGATGCTGCATTGGTTCATATTTGGTTCAGGCGCTAAGCATGAGCTTGTACCTTCAACTGTTGTACGGATCTTCTCTTTCTTCAGCAGCCGCATTCTCTTTGAACATCTGGAATCAGCTGAGCATGGTTGGATGCCCCCCAGTCTGCAGCATCCTCTTGATCATGTCCATCCCAAAAGCTGAGTCTGATGAACTGTGTAATCAAAGGATAAAATTTAACTCAGAATGGTAAAAACAATAACACAGGAAGGAAAGCTTCATACTAGAAAAAATAGAGACTTGATATCATGCGAATAATGCAGAATAGTGTTCTAGACGAGCCTAAAATAATAATAATAAAAGAAGAAATATCTCTCCACTATGTTGCTCTTAGATATACAAGACATGAAGGAAACTTGGGAAAAGTAATCCGGGTTCATTCAACCATGGATACCAGCCTCAGCTGAGATTTTCATCACAAGGTGCATGAAGCATTAACCTAAATCTCATGAATTAGAGAGAGAATCCACCTGGGAATAGTAACTTCATAAGGGAAGTAGACAACACCATCAGATATAGGAGGCACATGATCCTTCTTCTCATTCACAAATTTTATTATCTGGAATAAAACCTCACGAAGAGATGTTTCAAGTGCTGCCCTGCGAGCACTCCTCTCCTCCAATGAATCTGCACTTAACAGAACAATAAATTTTTTTGGTCATAAACAGGATTATGAGTTAAGAACCTTTACAAGCAATGGATTACCAGTTATAAGAGTCAACAGTACTACCTCCAGGGTCGACCACAATCTTGGAAGGATGAGACTTCCCAGAGTGAACTTTTTGTTGCTGGCTCACATTCAAATTGATATACCATTGTTCCCAATAAAGACGTTCGGTTTTGTTTGTAAACCACGAAGGATGCTTGTTTTTCACCTCATAGAAGGATATACAGACCTGCATCATTCAATAAAGAGTTCAACAACCAAAAGAAAGGGACTTCATCAGTACTATGATAAAAAGTTGATTTAAACAGTAGAAGTAACATGACGAGGAAGTGCTACTCAACACAGAGAAACAGATAAAATGGTCAGCTAGAGAACTCTATGTACAAGTCTAATATACACTATTGTTTAATCAAAGGCAATCGACGCATCCTATGATTTGGCGGGGTAAACATCGGGTGACATGGACATATATGCAAACACCATAAATCCACCTTTGCTTTAAAGGAACAAAAGGGGAATCGGAAACTACTGAAGCTATAATTTGTATCAGACATTCGAGTATAATATACCTGGCTCTTCTTATTTGGGTGTTTCTCTACCCAACTAATGAACTGCTCAATCTTCTCATCGATTTTCTTTTCAAGTTCACCATCCCCACATTGCACCTGCGCAACAAGAAGGGCAACGTCATTGCCAATATACGAATAGCAGATGCCAGAAGTCATCAATGACATGATGAGCTTTAGGCATAAAGCCTATCAGCCAGCTTTATGGAGGACACCCGTTACTTACATATGTAATGTCAAAGAGCTCTAAATCAATGACTTTGGGACGGACGAGTCCCAAAGCTCGATGGAAAACAATCGTATGCAATATGCCTGCAAACCCCAAGATCACATCACCACGATAGAAAACCCACAGTTCATCAAAATGTAAACGCACAAAGTGACAAACTTTTAACTGAATTATCAATCAAATTGCACAAACTGAGAACACACGAATCCCAGCTGCTAGAGTTCTACTCTCACAAGTGCACAAAGTGGGAAGAACTTACAACGGAGAACTTCCCGTATCTCGAAGTGCTCCACTTCCTGCAAGTTGAACACCACAAGTTCAGTAAATCCAAAATCAGCCGCGCGAAACAAACAGGAAATCGTAGAAACCTCCGAAATTCAGTACAAAAACCCCCCCAGTGATCTAAGGTTCGAAGAAATCTAGAAGTTACCAGCTCTTTGAGTTGGCAGACTTCGCAGTTCATGATGTTCCCCGGTGTTGGTCCAAAAAATTGAATCGCAATCGGTGTTGCGGAAAGCAAACCAAATCTAAATTCTTTCCCGCTCTTGAAACCTCCCACCCAAAAAGTTCAACCCTTGCACAATCTCGGAGCTCCAAAAATGGCGGAGTAGAGTTTGGAAGGAGGAAGGAATGCGATGGCTCTCTGACGAGCTTTGGCGTGTCGTAGTGATCTTCCTCCAGTTAAAAAAAAGGAAGGAAACCCATTCAGCTGGGCACTTGTTTCCACTCCAGCAAAGTTGCAACTTGCAACCTGAGATGACGTTTTCGGCTGCAAAACCCAAAAACACCGCTCGGCCCAGCCTCATCAGGCCCAGGCCCGATTCGAAACGAAGTCAGGCAGTGGAGAAAACTCATCAGACCTTCTTGGCTTGGCGCCGTTCCCATTCGCTTTCTTCTCCACCTTCTTTATTCGAATTTTGTGGGAATTTCCATCGTTGACTCCTCCGCCTGTATACGGATTTTGTGGAATTGGAAGTTCGATACGATCACTGGAAGTCGATTAGTTGATTCCTATTCCGGCAGTGTGGCGGTTTACTTGGTTCTGCTCAAGTTGGAAACTTCACTGCGCAAGAACAAGGCGGGTAACTAGAGGGGAACTTTCCTTGCTTCCAACCGTGGGTTTTTTACTTGTTGTTCGTCAGCTGCTGTTAAATATCTGATTTGGGTGATTGGAAGAAAGGGTTTTGATTAGGATTCGAAGGGAAAGTTCGTATCTTTCCGGAAGAGGGGATCGGGTTGGTTTTGGAACTGGTCCGGCCGCCATTGCTGACAATTTGACGGAGCTACTGAGCTTATTCTCGTAAGGGAAGGATTGGACAGCAGGGATGAAGGAAATTAGCTGCGCTCTGCGCTTTATGTTTTCAGCGGAGTTTTGGGCGATGGGATTGTGTTGGACAGTGTCGCTTCTGGCTTCCTACTGGCAGTTGGTACTCAGAAGGATTACTGGGAGGTGCGAGGTTTATCCGCGTAGTGAGCTTCCCAGAAATTTGCCTACCAGGCCTGTTTGCATCGTTACAGGGGTAAGCTTTCGTTTGGATTCCCTCTCTCTAATCAACGGTAGCTTTCTCAGACTAGATGCACGGAAACTGTTTGTTTTTATGTCTGACTGGACTTTTTTTTCTCTCTTTTTTGTTCGTTGTGATCAGGCAACGTCTGGTCTTGGTGCAGCTGCTGCTTCTGCCTTGTCAAAAGAAGGGTTTTCCGTTGTTCTTGGTTAGTTACTTGGTCTGTTTTACTATTACTCAGGAGAGGTTGTTTATAGCTTGATCGAACCTGAAATTTTGCGGTCTCATTGGTCTGGCTTTTATGGCAGTTGGACTATCATCAGAATTATTATCCGAGGTTTGGATCATATTATTTTGTCTGTTGGGATGTTGTGTATTGGCTCTTCACATTATGGGTGTTCAGGTGTTTGGTTGGTGTTGGTGTGTGGTAGGCAATGGAAGAGATAAGGAAACGGAACAAGGATGCCCATCTCAAGGGATTTGTGGTTGACTTGTCTTCTTTTTGCTCCATCTTGGAGTTCAAAAGTTCTTTAGAGAAGTGGCTGACGGATTCGGATATGCATTCTTCCATCCAGCTACTGATAAACAATGCAGGGATTCTGGCAACATCAGTTAGGCCCACTCCTGAAGGATATGATCAGTAACCTTCTTCATTTCCCTTTGCTATGTATTGATATGTTTCCAAGAAGATGAATGCATAAGTGGCTTGTTATGCACCTATCTCATAACTCTCTTTTTATCTTTACCAAAAAAAGAACCATGTTCATCTGTCTTCTTCCTCTCATTTGACATTTCGACATTACCTTGAATAGATGAAATTTCTTGTCTTCATGTGTTAATCCCCTAAGCCAACTAGAAGTTGTTGCACTTTGATAAAAGATCCATGAACTGTTATCCTTTTGAGGCCTTTCAGCATGATCTATCCTCTGCACTCGTACTGCCTGAGATGAAAATTTCTTTTGCCTGATTATAGCGTTATCTGAAAGAAAATGCATCATTTTCCATTATAGTTATGTATTTGTTAGTAAATGCTGTATCTTGATATGCCACTCTTCTATTTGGACTGTGTTTGAGCTTAAGCATGCTCTAGAAGTGAATTATCACTACCAAAATTTTCTAAACCTCTGTCCCTCTTTTCCCAGGATGATGGGTACAAATTACATTGGTGCATTCTTTCTTACTAAGCTTCTATTACCCCTTCTCAAAACTAGCCCTGTTGGTTCGCGTATAGTGAATGTGACATCATTTACTCATCGAGCAGGTATGCACTTCTAGTAATCTTGTATGTCATGTTTGTAGTAGCTGAAGTGATTTAGTCGTTATTTCATTGAACCATTTAGTGTACCATATTTTTGTTTTATCGCCAAGTTTATAGTGCATTGAATGCTCACTCAATCTGTCAAGTTCTTCGTTGGTCTCTGTTTGCATGACAAGTTTTTCTTTGAAGTCTAAAAGTTTCAAGGTCTTAATGTTTTAAGCCTCATGGAAAGTCAAGTCATACCTTGTACTTTCCATAGGCTTCCCATATCCGCGAGAAGGAAAAACTAACCTCACTAGGTTATTTTCCTCCTAGTCTTTGATGCACAGATCAATGAAGATATTGTTACCGGAAAATGCTTCTTCAGATCAAAAGAATACCCATATGCTCGTGTATATCAGTACTCAAAACGTAAGCTGCGGTTCCTCCTAGTATGTTGAGTAGATTATCTCTGAACTGGCTCCCACTCAGTAATGCCGTTTTGTAGTGTGCCTCCTTCTCTTCACCTATGAGCTTCACCGGCAACTCAACTTGGACAACAAGCCTTGGCAAGTCTCTGTCCTGTATGTGCTCTTGACCTTAGTTTCCTGTGCTTGAGCTACACTAAGAATTCAAGATTCAGAAAAGTACCTGATATTTGTTTCATAGTTGCTTTAGTTTTCTGTTTCTTAATCGGCTCGTTTCCGGTTTTGTTTCAAAAAGTGCTGCAGATCCAGGAATGGTCAAAACCAACATCATGCAGGAAGTTCCTTTTTCCCTTTCCAACATTGCATATCTGGTGTTCAGAGTACTGGGACTTCTACAATCACCTGAGAATGGGATTAACTCCATCCTCGATGCCGCTTTGGCCCCATCAGTAAGTTCTTTAGCTGCTGATTCTGCCATTGAATTAGAATGCAAAGGACCCTTTCACTTTTCCATTGGCCTGAATAATTGTCCTGCCCCATGTCAGCACGTGTCCGGAGCTTACTTCTTTGGCGGCGAAGGCAGAACTTTGAGATCATCCGCGCTTTCGTACAACACCAGACTCGGCGAGAAGCTCTGGAACATCTCAAGCAACATGTTCTTCGACTTAAAACTTGCTTCGCAAGCCACCTCTTCTTCAAGTTAGTGCTGTACATCATCACCACCAGCAGAGGGACATACATAGATATATACTTCATGAAGCACATACAAGCTCTTGCAGCTGCTGGAAGATGCATCTCGAGGTTTTTCGGAATATGATGAAATCGTAAGTGTATTGGATTCATTGCGCTCTGATTACAGGCTTCCTCAATCTCTGCCAATGAGAACGAAGTGTATTGGATTCTTTCAACATGGAAAACGACACTCCACAAAGTTCCAATTGGTAACTAGCTTTGTTCTTTAGCTGTTCTTCGATCTTGTGGTCTCACTTAAAAACAACAAAACTAGCAACTACTTTTGTCTTTCAGCTGTCCTTTCTAGTTTCTACTCCAAGAACGTACATCAATCAGATCGACTTTATTTCAAACTATGCCATCATTATGTTTGCCCAGAGAGAGCAACGAGCTTGACCAACTATGGACAAACGAGGTGAAGTTCATAATATTGCATATACTTGTGGATTTTGAAGGACGGAGTTGAAAATTTGTAGTACTCTAATTGAACATCACTGTAATTATAGGTTGTTTGCAACCAGTTTCCTTTTTATTGTGGTCGAGATGCACAGGTTGAACTACCTCGACGATCATACGAGTTATATGTATATGTAAGGCGCCCCTCATTTGTTTATGCATCATAGAGTGATACCCTACTAAACAATGGCGTTGAGGCCATTTGGCCTCGACCAACCAATTCATCGAACACCCCCACAAGGGTTTCAAGAACTTCACCACTTCAACATGCACCATCACTAAACCAATCGACCTCTGTAGTACCATTGTCACTAGTTAAGTCTACGGAGCAATGGTGCAGTACATGATGTGGTGTCAAAGTTTATTCAAAGATGGGTTTCCATTGATGTGTGAATCTATGCCAGTTTCTTCGACATTTAGCACGATTAAAATTACTGATCTGGGTAATTCAATAATTTCAACCCACACTTTCAAATGAGGGTGTGAAAAAAAGCTAACAAACCACCAAAGAAACAACCCCACATATCAAACTTTTTTTTCTAGGGTTCCACAAACAAACAACATGATCTCTCCTTGTCTCAGTCCTATATCTTCTTGTCCCCATGCCCCATGCTACAATACAATACCAGCTTTAGTTTGTTTTGTCAGCACACTTCCTTTTCCTCTCCATTGGAATTCCCCAATTTCCATGACTGAAGACCCCATTTTGGCTGTTTTTGTTGAATTGAGAATAACAATGAGAATTTCACTTCATCCCTTTTCGAGTTTTCCTTCCCTTCAAGCGTCTCATATGTTTTGTCCTCTTCAATGGCGTGAAACGAAGAGAATGTATCGAGCTTAGTGCTTGGTAGAAAAAAGGAGATCCTATGAAGAATATATATATAGCACAATACTTAAAAATGGGTAGCAAGTAAGTAGGGAACACAGCCCGGTCAAATCGATAAACCTTAGTGTTGACGGATTCTGTGTTGTGTGCGAGTTTTACCTGTTTTTTGAATTGGCGGATTGGGTACAATTGGCATTTTGTCAAAACCTAGCTCGTTTTTTTTTTTACTTGACATGCAGTACTCTTACAGCAAAGTGACTTCGTTTTGTATCTAAAACTAAAAATATGAATAATTTATATATAGATGGAAAATAGTCTTCTTAATAATAAGGATAGTTTATATATGTCATTAATCTTTATGAAAATATAGTTGTGGGAAAATCTTTGATAATATAAAGATGTGGATATATTCAGATATTTGCGGTTATATCCATAAATCATGGGTAACCACACCAGTCGCTACTCGTTGGATTGAGTTTTTCTATTCCGCAATCTAACAAATATTTTACCGAGTTTTTTTTTTTTTTTTTTTGTAGCAGGTGTACTCGATGGATTAGATTTGG